TGCCGCCTCAACAACTTTTACACCCCCCCCCCCCCCCTCTGATTGAACTTTTAACTTATAATTTAAACATTTAAACCTTAGACTTTAGGACTACTACTTCACCAAAAAGCCTGGAGCTAACTTTGAGGGCAGTCATCTGATGTGACTTTTTTATATGCTTAATTTTATATATAATATATAGTCACAATGATATAAACGCAAGTATACGTATCGCTCAAGTAATATAGGACTTTCTGATTAAGCCCCGATTATCGATCCCACGAGGAAGGGAGGAAAGATATCCTTAGTCAAATTCTAATTTATTACTATTAGTCCTTAGTTTGGAATCTCGATTAAAATGGTGTTTTATCTATCAACTACTCCTAAATGCAAATTTTAAATATAAGGATAGTAATTATTCATAAATATAAATATTAAATTCTAAAGATAACCCTTTATGGATGAATTGGTTTGAAGAATTTTATGATTTTCAAAACTATTATTCTTATGTAGTGAGTTGAATAATGTAAAGGAATGAGATACATTAAATATTGTTTGTGCTAAATAAGAGCAATTTTAATTCTCTACCCTGATTCAGTGTTATAGAAAATCATTGGCTAATCTCAGGTTTAGTCCCTAAATCTGTAGCTAGGCTAGGAGGATACTGACTCCCACTCCAGAGCTCCTATTTCTCTTCCCCTAAAGGCTAACTCTTGCTTTAGTTCTTTAAAGACTAAGACCAAATTGGGGATTTTAGTCTGTCACCCTAAAATCTCCGATTCTACGCCCATCAAAATATATTTCCCTATTTATTTACATCCAACCCCCATGAACTTCACCACCCATGGAATTTGAACGTGGTTCCACTTTTTTGGGAATTACACCGCCCTCTTGAGTCTTAATGCAATTACAATGAATTTTAACTCTACAACAGACCTTTATTGTAATGTAAATGAAGTGCAAGTAAAAACTATCACATTTATAATTAAAACTTCTTCAAGCATGCATCCCAAAATCCAAAACCTAAATCCTACTCATTGTAAAAGAAAAGTAAAAGGAAAATAATGGCATAATTCTCTCATGTCACTATTTCCTAAGAAGAATAAAGAGTAAGAGAAACACATCACAAAGCACGAAGAAAACACAACGAAAAACTTCATTACATCAAAGCAAATCCACTAGATAAGTGTTTACAAAATCATAAGATAATGAAGAGCACAATACATAGTTTTTTTCCTCTTGAAAGAAAGATGAAAATCTCTCCCACAAAGTCTATCGTTGATCCATGCAATGCTAGAACATTCCCTTACAAATTCTCTCAATATCTCCTCACCAATATCTTCAAAAAGATAGAAATCTACATTTCTACTTCTATTCTAAGATCACTAAACATTCTACATTTCCTCACTCACACACACCCTCACACACACGCGCGCATGCATATGAGAGGTGTCAAGCCCTCTTTTTTAAAGACACACAAATTCCCTCTTTTTTCCAAGAGACAAATCTATTCATCCAAAAGACATGTCTCTTCATTCAAGTGTCTTATCCAAGTGTCTAGATTCATTGAATTGCTTCATGGGGTGTTTGAATCACTTGAGAGCCTTCTAGAACATCAAAAACCGCCAAAAATCGATCCATGACTGTCCCGGGCACTGTCTCGGGCGTTGTTGGCCTAATTTTCTCGTCGTTTTTCTATTCTTCAGCGTCTTCGGTGCCGGCTGGCGCCGCTAACGCCCACCTTGCGCAGCTCCACCATTTTGCTTCGTTTGACTCCGTTTTTGCCTTATTTCACCCTGTTTCAGTTGCGTTGCGTTCCTAATAGATAGACCTACAAAATAAACATAAAAACAACCTTTCTTTAAAGTGTAATTTCATTCAAAAATATGTGAGAAGTGTAAAAGAGATTAAATATAGAAAGACATCGAAGGTGTTAGGACAAAATTTTCTTTCTTGCTCGTTTTTTCTCCAAATTACATCGTTTTTGCTTCTTTTTCTCCAAAACTCCATTTTCTGTACCTGAAACCAAAAATATACAAAATAACTTCCTTTAAAGTGCATTATCATTGAAAATCACCAAATATAAGCATTAAAAGCATTTGAAAATTTGCACATTTTTAGGTGTATCATCATCTACAACATCATGTGAATCTCAACAGCACGAGGACAACAGCACATGTTTTCTTAGAATTAAACAATAAGTCATAGAATTTTGAGGTCGTCTGCCTAGTGTGACATGAGTCCTCAACTTATCTTTAGGCATTTGTATGACTCTGCTATACAATTTAAGCCCTAACATGTTCTAGGATTCTGAGGTTGTCATTTGTCACAACTTAAATCCTCACATCTTCCACGCTATTTGTATGACCGTCTCGCACAAATGTAAGTCCTAATTAATAAAATTTGTAGGATGACACACATAATTTCTTTCTAAAGTTAAAGTCGAACCATAGGATAGCTTGAGAAGTCACTGAGGTTCTCCTCAGGATCCATGATATCCCCTAGTTCTTCTTCCTTTGGATTCAAAAATAAATGTTCCAAATTTGAGTCATTCCTTTTTCACACTTCTTTGTTCGATCTTTTGAGAAGTCTTATCCTTTGAAACTCCTATTTTAAAGTTTAAAATGTTATTTTCATGGTTGGAGCTTGGTGGTTGCCCTAAAATCTCATTGGTGGGAGAATTGGTTATTTTTTGATATTTTTTTTCTCATCAACATTAATCTATATTCTAACTTCTCTTATATATTCTCCTACAATATAATATCATCTTATGTTCATTTTATAGCATCTGTAATAGAAAATAATTTATGCAAGTTATTGTGAAGTGCTTAATATTTAAGGTTATTTTTAAATTCTTGTTTGAAGATCATTCATATTTAGAGTCTTATTTTTCTGCTTTAATAATCACTTAATCATGTTAATTTTATATAATACTAATTTCTTAATCTTAAATTAATTATTTTTATATTTGGTCAGCACTATATTTCAAAGCCAACTCAAACTATTTATTATTATTTGTGTTCAAATTCTATTTGATGAATGCTAAAAAAATCATGTTGCAGTATTATTGATGTACAATGGAAGTATCCTACTATTATTTTGATTTCACACATTATTCTTTATTAACTATAAATCCTTGTAAAGTACTAATCGTACTGATTATACTTGATTCATATTTTATGAATATTGTATACTTTTGCATTGAAATAAACTTTCTCTGAAAGAAATTAACGCTAGATTGAACATATTCACTACTAATTAAGGCTAGTGTGATGGTTAAACAATTTCTACATTATTATGTAACTTAAAGCATCAAAATGAGAATG